GTCATCTAGCTTTAACTGATTCAATCACGAGAATGAGAACACACCAACAGTCAATGAACAAGCAGAGTCAGGACACGGACACGGTGGTTGTATCATCATATGAGGTTGGTATACAATGGGTTTTTACTTACGCGGCTGGCGACTGAAGGTCACGAAGGTGTCAAGCAGTTGTCTCCAGCGTCCGTGCAAGCATCAGGACATGACACGCCGCCTCCTCTCTGAAGGGGCCGCAAGCATTTATCCTTCTCTGCCGAGGCCGCCTGGAGAAGGCGGGGATGTCACCGAATTTGTTGCAACTTCTATCGTGAGTATTTCTACTTCATTGAGCCTTCCTAGTCTCTCAGTAAGACCGACGACTCACTTTACAGCGTCGGAGGGGTGCCGAGTGTAGCGGGGGCCCTCCAGTTTAGGTGGAGGCAGTAGGGAACTGCACGAGAGCCCAGTGTTTAATATAAGCGTTCCAAGAAGGCCTATGACCTTCCTTGAGCCTTCAGGCATCCTGGAAATAGCAGTACAAGTCGATGCGCAGGTGCGGCGATGAGTATGCGCCTCATGCCTTGCAACTTTTACCTTGCTGCAAGTCGTGCTGCAACGGATCCCAACATTGCAGGCGCAAGGAAGCCCCCTTTGCTGCATGCACTAACACAGGACGCAATTGCTGAACACGTACTTGTCCCGTAGTACCCGTCTGTATGCAAGTAGTAGCACCAATTCCGAACGCATCATGCTATACTGCGGGGCATTCCCGCGTGCACGCTTGGCCAAGCACCCATTTAGTGCAAGCACTAACGCGATAGGAAACTTTCAGCGTTTCCTTAGCCCTCATCAGCCAGCCTGTACCTCACTAGACATGCAGGAACCCAATGCGGCCAGCCCGTGCAACAAATAGCCTTCGGAGAGGCCTGAGGCGACTTTTCCTTTTAGTTTTTGTTAATGTTTTTGACGGTGAAGGCACATCGCAAATTGACTCTTCATGCAGCGGATGGAGGGAGGGTTTTTTCGGATGGACCCTACGTGCGGTTGGCAAGTCAAACGCTTAGCTGAGGCCCGCGGGAGAGGCCACTCGACCTTCGTAGCATTGATCAACAAGGCTTATCGGATTCTATGGTTACTTAATTTATAAATGGAGCTGGGCCTGAATGTATATTTGGTATTTTCACTGCCAGTGTCCGGTGCAGCTTTTCCCCAATGCGTTGATACTGTCAGGGTCAAGCGCTTAACCAATGCGTGGACATTGTAATGCGGTGCACTAGCCTGTCGGCGCTTTGGTTCAAGTCGGCTTGCCAAGTAGGAACTTGCATACGTGGGTTATGCACTGGACTACGACGGAATCAAGACAACTGCAGATAAACTCCAAGCAGTACCAGCTTGGCCCGAAGTACTCACAAACTTTAACAAGGCCCGCCAATTCCTGGGCACCGCCAACTAGTGCACCATAATTTTGGGGCTAGAGTTTGCGGAGTTGTTCAGACCGTTGGTAAGCAGCATACGCCCCAAGCTTCCCCGTAAATGCCGTGATAAACATTTAAACGCTGGCAAACGCCTTCAATAACGCCTCTTCGACTGCGCAACCCTGCAGGGGCCGGGCCACATGGCAGCCTGCGTTCAGTAGAGCTGATAGCGCATAGCCATTAAGATGAATTTGGTTGAGCACATAGTTTACTTAAGGCGGGTCTGTAGGCCGGCCCGTCAACTCTTTTGTTTTCTCCACTGCTCCACACGTTGATTGTTTTCTTCACAGCTCCACACGTTGATTGTTGGCCAGGGCGGTTGCCTTGTCGTTTGTTGGCGCTTCTTGAAACGCTGCTTCTCCAGCGCCTTAGTTATTTCCATGAAGCCGTAACATCGAATTCTGCTACCGTGCGTTCGATAAGAGGCAGGTGCACCGCTCGGTACGCCCGCTTGGTTTTCTGAGTGCTGGATATTCCGGCTGCCGACTGTTCTCGCTTCCTAACATTTTCTGAGTGGGGCTGCAATTTACCGAGTTGATATCCATAGGCTGTATATCTAGAACATTTCCAGAGCATTTGCATCTCTTCTCAGCGACGGCGGTGGATCTGGCACTTTTTCTGCCTTTGACCTTCAAGTACTACATCATAATGGCGAGTTCCACATTTTCACTCCTTAATTCCTTCTTCGTTCCCAGCCAGCTACCGACTTTACCCCCAAGGATTATGAATGATTTGTCTGTTCCAGTTCCAGAAGTTCTCAGTCCTCCATTCTCACCGCGGTCACTTCCCGCAGGACGCCGAGGAAAAAAGAAGACCTTGCAGGCGTTGGGCCGCCACTTCTACGGGCCCGGCATGCACTCCTATACATCTCATGGGGAATCCTGCATACAATACAAGACATTTGAGGCTGTCTCAACGAACAGCTGGGTTACAACAACCACTGATTACCCTATCCAGATGAGGGAGTCACGTCAGCTTGGAGCTTGTCACCGCCTTACCTCATACTCCTAATGGCCAGGACTCTGTTCTGCTCATCGTTGACTCCCTTTCTAAAATGGCTCAGTCTTCCCGAGGACGAAATCTCCCACTACAGCAGAAACTAGAGAAACTAGAGAGTTGCTAGCAGACCGCCCACGTTTCCAGCGAGAACTCTGGGGACGACTCTGTTACCGCTTCACAGCAAGTTCCGTCAGGTCGTCCGTCTGGGGATGGTATGTAGTGGAGATCGCCCGTTTGATTGACAGAACTTTGGAACAAGTGGTCCGAACTTACATTCAGCCCGACANGTAGTGGAGATCGCCCGTTTGATTGACAGAACTTTGGAACAAGTGGTCCGAACTTACATTCAGCCCGACAGAGTAGTAGAAGGGCCTCCTTCCGGCGCTCGAGCTGGCACACAACGCAGTACGCGACTGCTAAACGGAACTCAGCCACTTCGAAGTTATGGTTGGAGAAAGCCCGTTAACAGCAACAGTGCTGGATATTCTGGGCTCCTTAGCCTCCATTCTCACGCCATTTATCACCAAATCACTCAGTACGTTGTGCGACAGGGCTCACTTAGCCCCCCTTCTCACTCTACCTGCCACCAAATCGTTCCGCAGGTTGTGTGACATGGCTCAAAAGCACATTTTACAGGCGAATGGGAACCAGAAAGTCTATGAAGACGCGCGCAATAAAGCGATAGAATGCAACGCGGGCGACAAGGCCTGGATTAGCAGCAAAACTTTTTTCCTCCACCATGCACATGTTCCAATTTCGAGCCACGGTAGCGCGACTTCCCTTAATATCACGAAGCACATCGGTAGGTTTGCTTACCGCTTAACCCTCCCCCCAACTTTAGCATGTCATTATGCTTTCCATGTTTCTCAGCCAATCCTCGACTAAGTACGCGACCCACAGATGATTAGACGGGAGGCTTCGATGGGCCGTGCAGGACGAGCAGGAAAAACTCACCAACAGCCTTGCAGCAGACGACATTCTTGATCAGTTAGGTGAAGATCAAAACGAGCAGTGTCTTGCGATGCGGCGAAGGGCACCTGAAGGCAGAGCTACTCTCTGTATCGGGAACCCGTTAAGCATGTACGAGGTCGCTCAGCTTTTCTTCGCGCATGGCACCGAACCCGCACTCGCGCTCTCAGACGCGCAGCGTTTCAGGGCTCAGAGGTACGCCCACTTGCCTCTTAGGTATTTAGCTGACGTACACATAAATTCCGGGACTGCTGTAGATCTCCACCGCTGCCCATGTAACCCATATATGACGCCTGTGGAGCCTGGAACGTCACCATCTACACCGATCAAGTTGCTACCGTCAACATTCCGGCGAGAGGCAAAGTTGTAGTGGGGCACACTACAATGGTAGTGACGGGCGCGATACTATAAGTATAGGCGTCAGTACTAAGTAGTACTTAGACAGAGCGAGCTAAAGCATATCAATGTACATAGGAGCAGAATTAGTCTGATAGAGCAACATTACAATAGTGCTGTTCAGAAGAATGCCCGTTGGGCTACAAGGTAGCCAGTCACCCGCCCGTAACGCTGGCAGTGCCTTGCTTACCCCGGGAAGGTCGGCGTGGAGAGGAGCCGTGAGCGAGCCGATCGTCACTATTATTATTGTTATTATGCAAAATGGCTAATTATGTGTCTGCACGTTTGGACCTACTGTGATTCTCAAGGGGGATTCGGGTCATCTCCCCCGCGTCGGGGTACGCGTGTACGAAGGATTTCAGTGAAGCGCAAGCTATCGAGACGCCGGCAGAGGTAGCTTGCACAGTTTGTTCCTGCCTGTTAGTTTAAGCTGTCTCCTTTATTTAGGTGAGGATAAAAGAACTCCCTGGGATGAATATACATATTTTGCTCAACGAAAGTGTCAAGCTCCGCCAGCTGAATCGGAGTCCCCCTGCAGAAGCCCAGGAGTGTTTCGGGCGGGGATCCACAGTAGCACGTGGCGCTTTAGTGGAATTAACTTGGCGAATCAATATTATTTTGTAAGAAGGCTGATGAATTCCTCAAGAATTTTTTTGCGGATNGAATTAACTTGGCGAATCAATATTATTTTGTAAGAAGGCTGATGAATTCCTCAAGAATTTTTTTGCGGATTTCCACCATAAAAATAGCCTGTCCTCTCCGTACAGGTGAGTTTCTTGCAGCCCCCCTCATGGAGCGAACTTGTCCTGCAATGATCTTCCTCTCTTCGGACGTCGAAGCCATCTAGTTGCTGGCGCCGATCTATACTCGAACCATATTTTCTGAGCTTTTCGAATAGTTTTTACTGTGGTAGGGGTCCAGCGGTGACCCTAATTGCCTCGGTGTTGCACGTCGACATGTACTTCCAGTATTGAGGAAGATCTCTGCAAGATACATACTTCATGGTGACAGTTTCGCCGCTTCAGGACACGCCAGATGCGTTTTATTATTATGTGCATGGAATTTCCGCCGATTTGAAGGAAGAAGGCGACATTCACCACAAAGATGATCTACAATACCGTCCCAGGCCTACGACAGCGTCCCCACCATCAAGCGCACGATCCTTGCTCGCAGCGCTGGTTGCAGTCTCGGCAGTTGTATTTATCGCTTATGCGTGCAGTTTTTCCGTTGGAAAAAGATTAACTGCCGTGTCTTTTGGCCGCGAATTGGCAGACCGCCGGGGTGGGGAAGAATGCGACGTCTCACGAACCTCGCAAAGAAAAAGGTCATCTGCAGACGCCTCCTCAGAAGGCCAGCAGGCTATGATCGCGCATATAGAAGCTCTGCAGGCGCAGTCAGGAAATGTGGTGCCTACATCTTCAGCAGGCGCAACCACCGCGGCGCCTGACAAAGTGATTTCGGGAACAGGGAGTGCACAGCTTGAGACACGGAGCCNGGCGCAACCACCGCGGCGCCTGACAAAGTGATTTCGGGAACAGGGAGTGCACAGCTTGAGACACGGAGCCGAGGACGTTTTAAGAGAAGGGGAGAATACTACGCGGATCTGGATATGGAGGCTAAGCATCTAAGACTTGAGACAGTGGTTGAGGAGACCCCTCTCCAGCCTCCGCCTCCGCCTCTCGATCCTGGTCTCGATTCGCTTATAGATTCCGTGTTGTTTGGAATCGATGATCCCTTCTCCGAAGACGTTTGGCTCGATGATGAGCAGAAGCTACACTCCACCGCGGATTCTTCTTTCTTATCGATTCCCTCGAGATCGGGAAGCGAGTCTGCATCACCTGTTGTAGAGTATACGCAGGAACATTCGCCCACCCGGCTCGATCCTAGTCTCGATCCACTTATCGATTCGGCTTTCTCCGGAGCCGACGATCCCTCGTCCGAAGACAGTTCGCTCACCGATGAACTAATGCTACAATCCCCAGCGGATGCGTCTACTGAGTCGGAGCCCTCCGCATTGGGAAGCGGCTCTGAGTCACCTCTTGTCGACTCCACGAAGCGAGGTCTCGATTCACCTATTGATTCCGCCTTGTCCGGAGCCGAGGATCCCTCATCT